GCCTCCCAAGTAGCTGGGACCACAGGTGCCCGCCACATTGCCCGACTATTTTTTGGTTGCAGCCATCATTGTTTTGGCGGGCCCAGGCTGGATTCGAACCTGCCACCTTAGATGTATGCGGCTGGCGCCAAGCCCCAACTTAAACTTTTATTTCAGCCTGTGGTAGTAATGAAAAGCAGACACAGCCAATGTGGTCCAGTGCTTTCCTTTGCATTTCTAAACTCTGGGAACCAAATAAGCAGGAGGCACATTAAGGAAAGAGGAGTCTGGAAGAGACATGGCTCCTGCCTGTTTCTTCCACCATTGCAGTCACTATGGTGATGCATATTATCCTCAAACAGCTCTGGCTAGTCTGTCTTTTCTATAAGAATCTATTTTTGTTGTTCATTTAGCTGGGGCCCTAAACTGTCACTATAACAGTGAAATACCCCTGAATCCTGTTAGACTGAGTGGGACTTGTCCCCTATGGGCTTGAGTTTCTTTTTTAGTCATCATGATGGTAACCAAGATCACTCACAAATTCTAGGAGCTGCTTCTGGTGACTTGATACCACCAGACCTGAGACCCTCCTTTCTCCAACCACTGACCTGCCATTCATGCAGATAAGTCTGCCCCTTTCTCTCCAGGCTCCTGACAAACTGAAAGTGCCTTCTGTCATCAGCTCCTTTCAGGAGCCGGGCATTATGGCTAGAGCAAAAACCCATTTTTAGGCCGGGCATTGTGGCTCATGGGTGTAATTCCAGCACTTTGTAAGGCTAGGACAGAAGGATTGCTTGAGGCCAGGAGTTCAAGATCAGCCTGGACAAAAAAGCAAGACCCCATCTCTAAAAAACAAACAAAAAAGCCAGTCATAGTGGCATACACCTGTAGTTCCAACTATTTGGGACACTTAAGCAGGACAGTCCCTTGATCCCAAGGGACTTTAAGGCAGCAATAATCTATGATACTGTTATAGCACTCCAGCCTGGTTGACAGAGTGAGACCCTGTTTAAAAAAAAAAAAAAAATCAAAATCAACCATTTTCAATCTAGTGAAAGCATGTAAATGTTTAAAAAAATGAAAAATAAGGCTGGGAGATATGGCTCATGCCTATAATATTAGCACTGTGGGAGGGCGAGGTGGGTGGATTGCTTGAGCTCAGGAGTTCTTGACCAGCCTGAACCAGAGTGAGACCCCATCTGTAAAACCAGATGAATGTTGTGGCGGGCACCTGTAGTCCCAGCTACTTGGGAGGCTGAGCAAGGGAATTGCTTGAGCCCAAGAGTTGAGGTTGCTGTGAGCTATGATGCCACGGCACTCTACCTAAGGGGACAAAGTCAGACTCTGTCTGAAAAAAAAAAAAGAAAGAAAGGAAAGAAAAACGCAGCGCACAAAACAAATGCAAGAGGTGGCTGTGGTCATTCTAATTCAAATGGCTTCTACACCAGAACTATTTCTGGCTGGAAGATCTGTTACTAGGAAAAGGTTTTAGTTTTTTTTTTTATTTTTTTGAGACAGAGCCTCAAGCTATCCCCCTGGGTAGAGTGCTGTGACATCACAGCTCACAGCAACCTCCAACTCCTGGGCTCAAGTGAGTCTCCTGCCTCAGCCTCCCAAGTAGCTGGGACCATAGGCACCCACCATAACACCTGGCTATTTTTTTGGTTGCAGCCATCATTGTTGTTTGGCGGGCCTGGGCTGGATTTGAACCCACCACCTTAGGTGTATGTAGCTGGTGCCTTAGACACTTAAGCCACAGGAGCTGAGCTAGGAAAAGTTTTTTGAAACAACTAACAGCCAGGTACAGTGGCTCATGCCTATAATCTCAGAATTTTGAGAGGCCAAGGCAGGAGGATCACTTGAGGCCAGGAGTTTGAGACCAGCCTGATCAACATAGCAAGACCACATTGCAAAACAAAAAAAATTGAGATGAGTGTGGTAGCATGTGCCTGTAATCCTAGCTCCTTAGGAGACTGAGGCAGAAGGACTGCTTGAGCCCAGGAGTTGGAGACTATAGTGAGCTACAATCATGCCACACTTTATTCCAACTTGGGTGACAGAGTAAGACCTTATTTTTAAAAAAACAAATGAAAATCTAACAATAGCCAACATTTATTGGATATTTCCTCTGTTTCAGATGCTAGTCTAAGTTTTACAAGTATTAATTCATCTAGTACTGATAATAACTCTATGAGACAGCTATTTTCAGGTAAGTTACAGGTTATATTACTTGTATATTACTTTTGTTGCAGGTTATATTACTTGCCTGAGACTATATAGCTCACATAGTTAGCGGAGCCTGTGCCCAGTTATACCACCTTCTGGTATGTACTGCCTCCTGAAATATATAGCAAATACCCATACAACAGATGTTATAAATACTGTGTGTGCATTAATAATAGCAACCTTACTGTTTTATCTGGTCTTTTATAGGCTTATACATTGAGGTTTTAAAAATAATTTTCTTTTTGAGACAGAGTCTTATTATGTCCCCCTTGGTACAGTGCTGTGGCATCACAGTTCACAGCAACCTCAGACTCTTGGCCTTAAGTGATTATTTTGCCTCAGTCTCCCAAGTAGCTGGGACTACAGGCACTCACCACAACACCTGAATATTTTTTGTTGCAGTTGCCATTGTTGTTTAGCTGGTGCAGGCTGGGTTCAAACCCTCCACCCTCCACAGTGTAACTACTGTGCTATGGATGCCGAGCCAGTATGATCTATTTTTGTTAGAACACAGTAAAGGGGTAATGTGTTTCAGGGGGCTTTAAAACAGGGGCTTTAAAACATTATTCAGTCAAATACAGCTCAAGATTGTATTTGTTATGAAAATAATGTAAATAATGTAGGATGCGATAGGAAACTACTAAACCTAGTTCAGCCTATAAATTCTATAAATGTATAGATTATAGATTAAATTGAATTCTATTAAATTAAAATCTATTAAATTCCTATAAATTCTATTTCTCCTGATGATGTTAAAATAAAGGATTTTTTTTGTTTTGGGTTTTTTTTTTTGAGACGGAGTCTCACTATGCTGCCCTTGGTAGAGTGCTGTGGCATCACAGCTCACAGCAACCTCTAACTCTCTTGGGCTTAAATGATTCTCTTGTCTCAGCCTCCCAAGTAGCTGGGACTACAGGCACCTACCAAAATGCCTGGCTATTTTTTGTTGCCGTTGTCATTGTTGCTTAGCTGGCCCAGGCCAGGTTCAAACCCACCACCCTCCATGTATGTGGTGGGCACCACTGTGCTACAGGCACTGAGCCAAGATAAAGTTGTTTTTTTTTTTCTTTTGGTTGTTGTTGTTTTGGGGGCTTTTTTTTTGGGGGGGGAAGAGTCTCACTCTATGCCCTAGGTATAGTGCTGTGACATCACAGCTCACAGCAACCTCAAACTCTTGGGCTCAAGCCATCCTCTTGCCTCAGATTCCTGAGTGGCTGGGACTACAGGCGCCAGTTACAATGTCCTGCTAGTTTTTTTTAAGTGGCAGAGACTATAGGCGCCTACCTGCTAGTTTTTTCTATTTTTAGTAGAGACGGGGAGTCTCCTTTTTGCTCAGGCTGGTCTGGAACTCCTGAGCTCAGGCAATCCATCCACCTCAACCTCCCAGAATGCTGGAATAACAGGTGTAAGCCACAGCACCCAGCCAAAATAAACAATTTGAAATGCAGCTTCCTGTTGGAAGCTGAAATAAAGACGATTCTGGGCTCGGCGCCCGTAGCTCAGTGAGTAGGACACCAGCCACATACACCAAAGGTGGCAGGTTCGAGCCGGCCTGGGCCTGCTAAACACCAATGACAACTGCAACCAAAAAATAGCCGGGGCGTTGTGGTGGGCGCCTGTGGTCCCAGCTACTTGGGAGGTCGAGGCAAGAGAATCGCTTAAACCCAAGAGTTTGAGGTTACTGTGAGCTGCGATGCCACAGCGCTCTACCGAGGGCAACATACTGAGACTCTGTCTCTAAAATAAATAAATAAATAAAGATGATTCTGATAGCCTTTTGGATCCAAACCTTAAAGCTTATTTTGCCTAATTATATCTTCTGTCTTTAGAGACCCAAACCTCAAGCTTTCCGGTGGCATCCAACTCCAAGTACTCTTCGTCATGCATGCACAACCGACTCTTCACATCGCAGGGGTGTCTGGAGGCCTGCCAGTCACTTTACGAACTGTAGAACTTTCCTGGGTTCTAAGCATGTATGATTTTTTTTTTACTCTACTATTCATGTTTGGGTTGGACAAGACCGTGCAAAGCGGCCTACACCATTCTTTCAAAAGAAAGTCGTGTTTCTTGTCTCCTCTCTGATAAGTCGTGGTTCTGATTTCTCATAATTTGCAGATTCAGCCCTGTCCCTGGGGCCCTTAGACACAACCCTTGTGTATACAAAAAGTGCCATTAGCGAGTGGGTAGAACTCAAGGGGTGGAGCCTCACTTCTTGTGCCAGAAGCTACTGTCCCTCAGTGCGCCTGCGAGACTCCCACGCCCCAGGAGGGATTCCAATCGATTTGCTCTGCACTCGGCAGCTCTTTCTGGTAGCAGGCGGCCATCTTGCCTGGAGCCTGAGAAAAGAGAAGAGAGACAGAAGAAACGGGGCGTCAGTGGTCTCAGGGCCGCCCCGGGGGCCTCAAGAGCCGGAGGCAGCCCCGGAGGTGGTCCCAGATTCCGGGCTATGCTCTTGGACCTGAGAAGGGAAGGCGGAGGGCGGCGGGGACAAGATGGGTGGGAAATGTCAAGCAAGGATTGCTAAACGGGGGAGGGGCGTTGCCGGGGCGACCGGGGAGGGGCGTTGTCAGGTCTGAATAGCTGCTGTGTGTCATGCGGGCGCTGCCCAGGAAGGGCAGGGCTGGGGTGATGGCCATAGTAACAGCTGGGTGGGATTTCGCGACACCTCCGGCGCTAAGGGATTCGATGTCCATGGCAGTGGTCGCCTGGCGAAAGGCGCGGAACTAGATCCCTTCATTTGGAACGCTGACTTTCCAAGCCCTTTTCTTGCAGGCTCCCGTGGGCGGACACGCCAGAGGAGGAGGCCGGGGAATGGCCGCGGTGTGGCAGCAAGTCTTAGCAGTGGACGCAAGGTGAGGCGTGAGGTCGAAGCCCGTGGGAGCAGAACTTACTGTAGTGCATGCGCAATGGTGATAAGTGAGGCTGGGAGAACTTATGCGGCTGCGGGAGCGTGCTGGAGGTGAGCATGCGCAGTGAAAGGTGTGGGGTGCACCAGCGGTGAGGTGATACCAGCACTGCCTGGCTGGGAAAAGGGCCAGATAGGGTTCAAAGAGCATGCTGAGAAAATGCGGCCAGATGTGGGCATGAGCAAGCCTTTTGGGGGGATGAAGCTCAGCTTGGTGACAAGGTAGCCCCCATGGGTGCTCCCAGACTTCTCTTACCATCATCACTTCCCCATTCTGACCTTCTGCCACCCCACACTGGTCCCCCATTGTCATGTCAGTTTGACTTATGTTATCATGACAGATTGACCCCAACAGTCACTCCATACTGATTCTAGCAGAGCTGCAGACTGACTCTATTGTCCTTACACTGATTCATCACTGTACTCTTTATTACTGTGGAATCACTCCCATCACCACTGCTGATCATTCTTTTCACCCTGACCCCAATCACTGCCACACACCTCATTCTATTGCCCTATTCTTAGAGCTGATTGATTCCCTCTGTCCTGTTTTACTGCCTGCCCCACCTCATGACCCCACAGGTACAACGCGTACCGCACACCAACATTTCCACAGTTTCGGACCCAGTATATCCGCCGGCGCAGCCAGCTGCTGCGGGAGAATGCCAAGGCTGGGCACCCCCCAGCACTGCGTCGGCAATACCTGAGGCTTCGGGGGCAGCTCTTGGGCCAGCGCTACGGGCCCCTCTCTGAGCCAGGCAGTGCTCGTGCCTATAGCAACAGCATCGTCCGCAGCAGCCGCACTACCCTTGACCGCATGGAGGTGAGCTCCTGGCCACACTGCCCAGTGTACACCACCTGCTTCCACACATTCACTCCTCAGACTTTTGTCAAACACCTGCTGTGTGGTGGCTACTCTTTCAGGCTCTTAGCATCAGCAGAGGAAGAGAGATAAAATATCAAATAAGTCAGTAAACAGGCAATAAACTTGGTAAACAGGTCAATAAACATATAGCAAACATATCTTGAGTATCTGATAGGTGTGGCGAGGGTGGGAACAGCAGAACTAGTGAAGAAGCCACTTCAGCGGGAGCATGGAGACAGAGATGCTATTGATGGGGGGGAAACGTGGTAAAAGGGAACCTGGTTCTGGTTTTGAAGGCTCCACACTTCAAAAGTTCTCAGGGGCTGTATTTGGGACGTGCCAACCTAACCCTCTCCATTTATAGGACTTTGAGGATGATCCTCGGGCCCTAGGGGCCCGTGGGCACCGCCGTTCCGTCAGCCGTGGCTCCTACCAGCTGCAGGCACAGATGAACCGTGCCGTCTATGAGGACAGGTATGCACGAGGAGGCAGCAGAGGGCTGGGGGATTTGTGAGGAGGAGAGGGACCATGGGACAATGGTAGGCCATATACTCGTACCTACTGTCACCCCTCACTTCCTATTGGGGCCCAGGCCCCCTGGCAGCGTGGTGCCCACATCAGCAGCAGAGGCTAGTCGGGCCATGGCCGGGGACACATCACTGAGTGAGAACTACGCCTTTGCGGGCATGTACCATGTTTTTGACCAGCACGTGGATGAGGCAGGTGAGCCAGTGGGTAGCGGGTCCCATCACCAAATGTTTGTCCAACTGTGACAACCACCCAGGGCATCCTTTCCTGAATGCAAGTCCCCTGGCACACCTCTGAAGGAGGAATTAGCATCTGTAAAGCTTTTTACAAACTAAAGAGCCCTCTGCAAAGTGGTCTACAAAGTCCCAGTATACCGTATAGGTTCTCAGAAGCTTAAGAGAGCACTTTGCAGCAGCAGGTTGTCTTGGTTCCTGGCTCACTTGGAAGAGTTCAAAGGCTTTGCTAATGATAAATCCCCTTGCAGAGGGCAGAATGGGCTTCAGAGCATCAAGGGCTTTGCAAACTGCCAAGACTTTGGTGATTATAAAGTGCTTTCTGAGATGCAAGAGCTTTTCACCTTGCAGAAGACTTTTGCAATCTGCAGTGTAGCTGCTGTGATTCTGGTGGGAGGCTTTTGGCAGAGGGCCTTCTGGGGTTACAACTCCCTTTGTCAACCAAGGAAAGCCCTTCGCTGAGGCCACTGTGTTTTGTGCCTTGGGGCCCCAGCCCCTGGTACATACGTCGGAGCCTTTTATAAACAAAAGTGCCTAGTAAGTGTGCTGACTCCCACAAATGGCTCCTTGGCCTTGCAGTCCCAAGGGTACGCTTCGCCAATGATGACCGGCACCGCCTGGCCTGCTGCTCACTCGACGGCAGCATCTCCCTGTGCCAGCTGGTGCCTGCTCCGCCCACCGTGCTCCGTGTGCTGCGGGGCCATACCCGTGGTGTCTCCGACTTCGCCTGGTCCCTCTCCAATGACATCCTTGTGTCCACCTCACTCGATGCCACCATGCGCATCTGGGCCTCTGAGGACGGCCGCTGCATCCGGGAGATCCCTGACCCCGATGGCGCTGAACTGCTCTGCTGCACCTTCCAGCCCGTCAACAACAACCTCACTGTGGTCAGGCTCCAGGGTGCCCGCTCACCAGGGCGGCATGCCGGGTCAGGAGGGCTGTCTGAGGGAGTTAGTATAAGGGGCGGGGGGTGGCCTAGAGGGTCTGGGACCCCCCATTCCCATCACAGCAGTCCTACCATGGTCAAACTGAAAGGGAAACAGGTCAGAGGATGAGAATGCGGTCCCTAGTCTGGGCTGGCTTTGCTGTGGTGGATTTCAGGGGAACATCATTTGGGGCTAGAGACATGACTCTGAGGTTCCTTTAGTCCCATGAGCTACAGTTCTGCTGCAGTATGGTGAGGCTAAAACCTCATCTGGTGTATCAGCAGCAGCCCCACCATGGTCAGACTCCAGAAAAGATTGGTCAGAGAGCAGGGGAAATAAATTAAAAGTCTGGTATGGCCCAGGGTAGGGTGGGGGTGAAGTATAGGGGACCTGGACAAGGGCACGTTTGTGGTTGGGGATCCTTCAGCAGCAGCAACCCCACAGGATCTGGGCAGGAACAGCCAGGAAACCGAGGAAAGCCATTGTTAGAGGCCTGGGAGAACCCCGTGGTTTTCAGACTGGCAGACTGGCTCAGGGGGCTCTGAGACCCCTTTAGTTCCATGAACAGCTATTCTACTCTGGGCACATTGCAAGAGGAGCTAGATTGAGAGGAGGATTACATGCCTGGGTTACCTGCTCATCTGCCTGCTGCAGCCTCACTGTGAGGAGACTCTAGTAGGGACCAGCCAGTCCAATCAACAGCAACCTGATTGTGGTCAGACTCAAGGAGCTACTGTCTGGGAACAGAATGATGGCATGTGCATTCTACCCACAGGTGGGGAATGCTAAGCACAACGTGCATGTCATGAATATCTCCACGGGCAAAAAAGTGAAGGGCGGCTCCAGCAAGCTAACAGGCCGTGTCCTCGCCCTGTCTTTTGATGCCCCTGGCCGTCTTCTCTGGGCAGGTGATGACCGTGGCAGTGTCTTCTCCTTCCTCTTCGACATGGCCACAGGTAGGAAGACTATGGGCCTGCATCTGGGGTGCTCACCCTCAGGGCTCTGAGGGCCCACCCCACATCCTTCCTTCTGCCTCCTTCCCTCCACTGCTGCAGGGAAGCTGACCAAAGCCAAGCGTCTGGTGGTGCATGAGGGTAGCCCTGTGACCAGCATCTCGGCCCGGTCCTGGGTCAGCCGTGAGGCCCGGGACCCCTCGCTGCTTATCAATGCTTGCCTCAACAAGCTGCTACTCTACAGGTGGGTCCCACCAACAGGGCCACCTGGATAGCGGGCCTGCCTCCTCCAGCAGATTGGACAGGAACCGGTTTCTTCCATCAGATTAGCTTCACTGATCCCTCGTGGTAGCAGTAATAGTAATAGCAATAGAGAACACTTATCCAGCAATGGCTGTGTGTTCAAACACCTTCTACATATCACCTCATTTAATCTTCACACCAATGTGTGAGGTAGGTGCTATTATTATTTTCATTATAAAGTTGAGCAAACTAAGGCAGAAAATAGGCTAGGGTTCCCTTAGAGCAGAGGCCTGTTTTCCTTTCTTTCTTTTTTTTTTTATTGGGAGTGGATTTCTTTTCTTTTCTTTCCTTTTCTTATCCCCACTTGCATCTATCATGGTACCCAAGTGCAGTTCTCAGCCTGTGCCACACACTGGAATGACCTGAAGAGCTTCAAAAATCCTACCCAGAGTGAGTCATGATGGTTCCTGCCTGTAATCCTAGCGCTCTGGGAGGCCAAGGGGGATAGATTGCTTGAGCTCAGGAGTTCAAGACCAGCCTAAGCAAGAGTGATACCCCCATTTCTGCAAAAAATAGAAAACTTATCAAGGCTTGGTGGTTTATGCCTGTAGTCCCGGCTACTTGGGAGGCTGAAGCAGAAGGATCACTTAAACCCAGGAGTTTGAGGTTCCTGTGAGCTATGATGATGCCATGGCATTCTGTTTAGCCAGCACTGCAAAGAAAAACCTGTTGCAAAAAAAAAAAATCCTGCCCAGACCAGACTCCACTGCAGGCCAGTGGTTTCAAAAGCTTTGGGGTAGGCCTGGAGATTGGTAGATTGAAATATTCCCTAATCAATGTCCAGCTAGGCCTGAAAACCACTACGTGATAAAATGCTTTTTTTCTTTTTGTTTTTTTGAGACAGAGTCTCTCTTGTTGCCCTGAGTGATTCTCTTGCCTCAGCCTCCCAAGTAGCTGGGATGACAGGCGTCCACCACAACGCCCAGCTATTTTTAGAGACAGGGTCTTGCTCTTGCTCAGGCTGGTCTTGAACCTGTGAGCTCAGGACAATCCACC